TTCTGTGTTAAATGTGTAGCTAGCATGCAAGTATTTATGAAGCTTATTGCTCTGATTAGATTTGAAAAGCCACCTTTGACGTCACGAGTATGTCTGAAATTACAACGGTTACAGCTTGTGCGTCTCGGTAAAAGTCTACATATATAACAGACCTTACGATTTTGTCATGGGCGACACGAGATTCTGTAATAAGCTGTTAAAGATACTCTAAAGTGCAGATGCAAGTCTATGCTTGGACGAGGGGCAATTATATCAGATTTAAGCTCTGGCATTTTTACACTTTTATAATAAAGTAAAGGATCTGTAGAGCACAGGCTGTCTATTTCTTTTCTGTATATCTTCCGACTTATTTTATTCTTATATAATTTCGTTTTCTTTATATTATGTAATAAGTAATTTTCAATTAATTCTGGTTTATTTTAGATAACTTAAAGGTTGAAATTAAAGCCTGTATCAGAAGGAGAATACGGAGAGTGCTATCTTTGTTTCCCGTTTGTTAATTGTTAACTGATTCTGGCTTAATGTTCTAATTTTCTTTAGTTAAAAGGATATTGCATTTGAATAAATGATCTCATATCAAAATAGATGATACAGGAAATAAATTACTATAGGATTCAGAAACAAGCAAAGTTGTTGTTACAAGTCACCTATAGTCTCTAGTATACCATATATTCTTGCGTATTTAGTCAAAACGTAAATTGTGGCATGCTTGAGCTCTGCAACATATCTATGAGTATGAAAAATGTGAAAGAATATGCTGAATGGACATAGGGATATGCTATAAAATGTCAGAATATGATAGAAAAACATTGAATAAACATGGAAATGTGGTGTGTTGCGCCAGTACAGTGCGTAGTTAAAGGTTTTTGAATGACGGAGCATCTACCCCAATTATTAAAACGTTTTGCTTATGTATTTCTGTATACCAAACTAACTATAGTAGGCAACTGCTCATCTTAGAGTACTGTCGAGCCAAAAGTCAACTAAGACGATACGGAATGATGAAAAGGTAGTCAATATAGGTCATGTATTTATAATGGGTGTACAATCATACCACACCTGCCTTTTTTATCTTGTATATATACTGGACAACATTATATGCAGGATGTGAGAAGTTGTCTCTAAATCACCCAGGGACAGTTTGGGTAGTCAATTAAATTAAGATGTAATAGAGGTGAAATTTTAAAGAACTCGAGTCCATCCATTCTTAGGAGAGCACAACGAACTTGTCCAACTGAAAAATTTTTGTTTTTGTTTTAAGGGAAATATTTAACATTTTGGAACAGTATATTTTAAGTTATTGATATAGATGCTATAATATTCAATCTCCAGTTAGGATTTGAAAAGTTTATGATTTTAACCGTATGAGTGAAACAAAAACAGGAAAATGTGGCCCTTCTTCTTTCCTTTTATTAACCTTCTGCCTGCAGTAAGAATCTTAACGAGTGGGGTCGGGAATCTGTTTGACTGTGTCGGATGTGAATAACTCACCAGTCACAACCAATAAATAAATACAGCCATCCATCCTTGCAATGGTAATATAAAAGTACAATCGTTGAGGTCGGTGGCTTGCTGCCCGACACGAACTATTAACATATACACATTTTATCGTTACCCTTGTTTCTTGAATAGTCCATGTCATTTCAGCTAGAAATTGACATCGCTTAGTGAGAGCATTAACAGAGAAGAAAACTCATTTCTTGTTAACGTAATACATACAAATGTCACTGTAAAAATCCTCTCTTCCGGGCAAAGAGTCAATGAAACTGATGATAATGCAGCCATTTTATATTTAAGGATGACGAATGGCGTGTTTGATTGCTACGCTGTCAGAACTGATTGATACAGCATTCTATTATTTTTGAAAGATGTAATCCAAAGCCAAAATCTGATTACAGATAACGTGCTTTTTTTACAAAGTATTTCATTACAGCTTTGTTTTGGTTTGTAAAATTAAATCATTAAACAAACCCCAAATACAAAAAGAGCCCTGTTAAAAAGGTTGCATTGAACGAAGAAATGGCAAGTTGTAGAAATAATACTACATGTATGTGTACTTCTATTCATGACGGAGAAGACCTCCTACACTGAAAACTCATTAGCAGTGAATATAATTTATCCCAGTTTTTTTTTTTTCTAAATAGCAAAATTTAAATAAAAAAGACATACGCAATAATCAACTTGAAAAAAATTCATTGTTTGCACTTGTAGTTTTAATGTTTTTGAAGCATGCTGAGTACGATAAAAATGACGTTTTACAACATTATTTTGCGATAAAATTACTATTGTATTGACTAAATTAAGGTTTCAAGGAAGACATTTAGATTTCACATTCCTGCATGCCCGGATACTTTTAACAAAGCAGAAATTAATCTCGTTTAATCAAAGTTTGTTGTACAAATTGCTATTGTAGCTAATGACTATAAACAAGCTAGCTTATCCGTTCGAATGTTCTGCTTTGTCAGATTTATTTTCATTTCATTTAAAATCTCTGTTTACGAGTTTGACAGCTGGCTTGAAGCCTATTAACCTCCCCTGAGGCCAAACAAATATAGCGATATTACCATGACTTATCTCCGTATTAATAGGGCGATAATTGACTCAGTGGTCAGTCTATATATCATTATCATCGCCTTTGAGCGAGATACGTATAGATTAGTATACTCGAATGTAATGCAATTAAATATAGTCAAAGACATCACACTGATATATATTAATTTGTTGAGACACAATTCTGCACCGAACGTTCATTTCCAGGGGCAATCGCTACTTTTAATACAGCTATTACTATCGTGTTAAGTTGACTTGATAATATAAAAGGGACTGTTTAAAAAAAAAATATTGATAGAAAGTTACAGCGATTTTTTTCGAAACTTTTCCCATCAACAGTTTTTTAATCATTGCCATGTCCGAGAATGCCTGTACTGGGAATGATTTGAAAACAAAATTCACATCTTTCTCTTTCTGTTAATTATTATTCAACCATCAAATATTTGCTTCTCATAGTTAGCTTTAAATGGACATTTACTGGTTTTAAATTCCTAAGTTTTATGTCGTCACCTTTTACAATACCTTACTTTATTTATATTTATAATCATTTATCTGATAAAAACCCTTCTGATGGTTTTATAGTGACAGTTATGATCATCTGATAAAAATCGTTAATAAAATACATTTTTAACAAAGCAAAGCGATAATAGAAAATAAAACATATCGGTTGTATGTGGACGAGATTTCTCTGAAATTTCTTTATGTAAAATGGTCCTTATATGACGGTATGAAACTTATTAATAAAATTGAGAATGGAAATGGGGAATGTGTCAAAGTGACAACAACCCGACCAAAGAGCAGAAAACAGCCGAAGGCCACCAATGGGTCTTCAACACAGCGAAAGTATTTATTCTATGTACTTGTATATACAATCAGCTATGCAAGGCTAACAAGAAAAGCAAAAAAAAAACAAAAAAAAAACACATGTAGTGCATTGTATGTTTGACATTAAAAGTTTCATATTTTTCACACCCATGAAAAAAATTATAACAATGTGCTGTACATACATATAGTTGTAATAATATGTATTACATGAAGCATGTACAGTTTAGTCATAAACATACCACTTCATGTAAATAAGGTAATATTTACTTGGAACCTAAGAAATATAAATAAAACTTTTAAGAATCTGAACATTTATTAAGTATTTAGTGGTTCAAAAATAAAATATTCCACTCCGGATTTTTCTTGCTTGCTATCATTTTCTTTATTTTTTAATCGTATACTAAGGTTACATGTACATGTTTGATGCTATGATGATAGAACATTTTAGACTAAATTATTTCAGTGCTATTGACATGGTCAACGTCCTTTTGAATATATTGTACAGTGTATTCATATCTTGATCATTTATATCTAGCATCAATTTACACCCAGTTAATGTTACACATACAATGTTTGGCCTCAAATTACATGCATTATAAAACGATTATCCAAATATGCTAAAGATCGTCGTTTAATGGTCTGCATATGTTGTTGCGGTCACAACTAAAGTTGTATAGTGCAGACGTTTTTTTTTAAAGTTTTGTCTATGAGGATGCAATAGGATGCCAAAATTTTAATAAAGTAAATTAACGATAAGATGTTTTTACTTTCTTCATTTTCTTCTTTTCAAATCAATGTAATATTTTTAAGAAAAAACAATTAGCGGTTGGTATGGATGTATAGGAGTTTTTCACTATTTATATTAATTACAATATGTACTTACTGAATGAGTTAGCATGTCTCATATAGATTAAAGTACTTTTAACCACCTCTTATAAGAGCTGATGAAACGATAAAGTTTTCCCACAACGTAGTATTTTCTCATTCATATAGGATTCATATAGTGCAAATCTTAAAATATTAAGTGGTCAATTTCCTCTTAAGCAGAAACAATAACTGAGCTGGCGTCACTAAATTAATTTAAAAATAGAACGACTGTCGATCACAGGAATTTGTATTTATTGGCCCAATCTATAATGAAATTCCATTATATATGCAATCAATCTCATTTGACATGTATTATATGCAATTGTAAGTTACCTATTAATATTAAATGCAAGTTTCAAATTATAACACTAAAGTCAATGATTATGTACCAAGTATTTATTCATCATATTCCAACATTAAGTAAAATTCAATTTAAAATATTATGAACAAAGCCAAAAATAATTTCCCTTGATTGATTTTTTAGCCTTTAAAACCTCATAGGTGCTAGATTCATTCAGTGGCTGTCAATTATTATTATATTTTACAATTTAAGACTTCAATTTCAATTAACTAGCCCCAAACCATTAAATATGTAATTTTACGTTTAAAAGAATACTCGAATTTCATCATTTATTAAATTTGATAAAAAAAAATCATTAAACGCAATGAAAGGTGATAAATAATTTAAAATATTTTCACATTTCTCTAATTCTTTTCACCTGGGCTGTATCTCAATATTATTTGATAAGCAAACATACCTTTAGATCCCGTTGTTTAAAAACGGATATATATGAAACTTGAGGTAAAAATCCAGCTGAGAAAACTTACATAGGTAATCCGGTTACACAAATTTCACCTAACTGTAATAACTTTTTATTCACCTTTGTTTAAAAATCCATGGATCTTAATAATGCTACGAACTGTAATGATTATAAAGTAAAACTGATTAACAGCAGCACACGACAACTGCACGCGGGACTTCTGCTTCTGCAACCGACAGCCAATCAACAAACAATATCGATAAAATTCATTTGAGGCGTTAAAAATCTTATTGCAGGTAACCGCGTGTGGCCGTCTGTGGGTTGTTCATCGGGATGTCAATCAAATAAGTGAATTTTATCGGCTTTATTTACAATTATTTGAATAATATCACTTTATAGAATTCACGTATTCATGTCATTGATAAGTTTAGTGTAAGATATGTTATTTCTTTTCCAACAAGGTCAAACTAATTTAATGTTTCTCTAGGAACTTTTATCAGAATAAGAATGCAGGGGTATAACAATGACTTGTTATGCTGAATATCATGATTTTAAACGAAAACATGCATATAAAAAATAAACGAATGAATAATTGATTGTTGTTTGTTTGACTTATAGTTACAAATATCTCATGCACATTCAGGATGAGAATAACTTTGTGATAAATCCACTTGATAAGACTTGCAATGGTGGTCACACTGACCGAGAAAAATGTCGTGTAATTTGGACAACCACTCAAAGAATAGCATTAATAAAGTATGGGTATTTCTGCCGGACAGAAAGTCAAGATGGCAAAATGTCTATAACACAGTCAAACCTTGGAGCTCATGAACAATTGAATATCGTATTAATAAAATCGACAAATTAGACCAAATTTTGAAGGATTAAGCAGAATAGCTGAATCTACGGGACAAACTGGGCGTGGTCAAACAAAAGAATGGTAAAATACTGATTCATGTATTTTTAGAGTCATAGACCAGTGCGAAAAGGCAATAGAAAATCCGTCATAGGCAGGACAATATGGATTGGACAAAATTTAGCAATAACTTAACCGCCAATATAAATTGAATTGCGTGCGGTCGGTCATATTACTTGATAATAACTACCTATAATGCATAATAACATTTCTTTCATACTTGTATTCAATTGGTTTAATGCCTCTCGTGAAGATGTTTATTAACTTCTTCAGAGCAAGTGACTCTAATCAATACGTATATGACCGAGAGGTTCATTTTAGGCACTTACAGGGTGTTATTACATTGTCGCTTATCAGATAATCAAAATGGCCGACTGCACGAAGACTTCATGTTAACGCCTATATGAAATACAGGTATGCAGGCCAATCTTCATGAGAACAACTTTTTCAGTTCATGAAAAGTATGACTTGAAGGCGGTTCGAAATGTTCTTTCAAATAAGAAAGCTCATCAACAGGTAGGCTATGCAAGTGAGCTTTACCGTGAGTCTGTTGTTACATCTTGTCCACTTTAGACGGGTTTTTTTCGTATTGAATTCTTCTTAAATTCTGCAACAGTCTTGTCCACTAAATTAATGTAACTCCTATTGATTCAGAGAAGAAAGGATCCAAAGCTCACAACTTTTAAGTACAGTATTAAGTTTAAAAACGAAATCGAGTTTGTCAATCCAAACTGAGTTATCACATGTAATAAAAGATGTGAATACATTGAAACGAGTATTGAAATGGATTCGAATGTATTAAACCAGCTCGTAACATTAGATAGTGTACAATTGGAAGTTAATTATCTGTAAACACTATAAAATCCATTCATTCTGAAATAAACAACATTTACATTAATTTATTCGATTAACTTTAAAATCATGTAATCAAATCAGTATTTGAAGCAACACTTACAATTCGAAACCATACTAAAGTATAATGATACCACGATAAGTAAAAATGTCAATAGTTGTTACGTTAAATTAGCATACAAAAGGCATAGTCACAGTAAAGCGATAACATACAATACAAGAATCCTTTGGAAAATCAATGGTTATTTTATATTCAAAGTTTCAAGGACGTGTTATATTGTTATATGAAAGTTAACTGGTTCTCTAAGTAAGCAATTTGCCACCTTGGTAAGACATTCAGTAGCAGTAAATTTTAAATACTGTAGCTATCATAAACTTTTAAAAGATACATTCAAGTTTAAACTATATAAAGATGTATGCATGGCATATAAGATAAAAAGGTAATTGTCTTAGATAAAAAATACTTTAAAAGGAGATGCGCAGTAAACGTAAGTGAGACAACAAACCAAGGACACAAATAACCACAGAAGACATCCAGATGCCTAAATTTGAATACAGAAAAGCACTTCCTTAACCTGACAGATATCAATGCCAATGCTTATGGTTATGTTGTCATCATCCCGAATACGCATGAAATATTTGTCAATTGTTAAGAAATTTAACAGTCAATTATAAATTTTCGTATGTCATACATAAGCATTTTTGTTTTTGTTTCATTGAGTCGTTGTTTGCTGTCTTAATGACGCAAACCATACATTGTAAAAGAGAGGCGAAGGATACCAAAGGGAAATTCAAACTAATAAGTCGAAAATAATCTGACAACGCCATGGATAAAAAAGAGAAAAGACACACAGACAAACAATAGTACTCAAACACAACATAGTTAACCAAAGACTGAGCAACATGAACCCCACCAAAAACTCCGGATGGGTAAGCAGATCCTGCTCTACATTTGAGGTAATCTCAGGTGCTCCGGATGGGTAAGCAGATCCTGCTCCACATGTATCACCCGTCGTGTTGCTCATGTTAGTACAAACCCAGTCATAAGTTTTATTCGGTAGGTCACATTCGGGGAAAAGGGGACGGGATTGTAGTTACGACAATTGGAACATATCCTTTGTCATCTGTGAAACGGATATTCAATAACGGTCAATCAACTCGTGATGGCGTCCGTAAAATTGACAAAGGGACGATTTCAACTTCACCAATTGGAACTCTTGGTTTAATAGATTCCTTGTGAGTAGCAACCGTCTATCAAGGAAATCATGATAGGAAATACAAGCCCTAGAATACCGTATCAACTGGGAGATATATACTCCGTATGCAGGCGCTGCTGGGATGTTGCTACATAGAAATATTTCATACTTAAAAAAACAGTCTGTTTTTCCTTATTAGGACACCGCCAACTAGTCGGTGATTCCAATTGGTCTGTCTGTCTGTCTGTCTGTCTGTAAAACTTACTTTTTGTTTTAAAAAAGGATAAATTTTGAGAACTTGACGTCTGCTTTTGCTAGAATTTCAAAGAAAATCGTTATGTAGGCATACTTTGCATATTGACAAAAATGACGGAAAGCAATGGGAGACACAGAAAAGAAACATTACTATATCATGAAGGTCTTTTTTGTCTCTTTGGTTCAATAATAATAATACTGATATGGTAACAATTCTTAAGTTTCTATCTGAAAACGTACCACAACATTCCTATCTGAAAAAGTACCACAAGAAGGGATAATATGATTTTTGCACAGAGGGTTGTAGTCCATTGATGAAACTTCCAGATTACAAAACATATTAAAACACATCGACAAAAACTGCAAAATAAAAAAAAAATGTGACAATGGCGTTCTTGTTGCTAAGCACGGATACAATAATATATTTTGAGCAGTTTATTACTGCTCCAATAATTATGCATACATTGGGCATCATTATTTACACTCATTTTTTTCTCTCACCGTGGTGATGCCTGTGTTTCTTTGACCTGGGACTATACAATGAATTTGAATATTAGTTTTGTTAAATATTAGGTCGTGCTGCACAGTCTTTAGCTTTCTACGTATTGTTTTGTGGATGTGTTCATGTTTTGTCATGCCGTTTTCATATGTTTTTCGTCTTATGAGTTTTGAATGTCCTCTTCTCTGTTATAAATGACACTGTAACAAAAGAAACTTCATGTTCTTTTTGATAAACTATATATGCTTGGTTGTTTATACCCTTGTCCTCTGGATACATGAACTTGTCTTAATGGCATCCGATCTCCTTATTTCTATAAGTGTTCAGTACATGCACCGGTATAAACTTTTTTATTGTCATTGTATGACTCTTATGTACAACTGAAGGAATAGAAGTATCATAAATTGGTCAAAACTTTTCGCTGATTTATACCATGAAACAAAGCAAAAATGATTCTATTATTTCGTCTGCATTGAAATTCTGTATAAATTCATTCTTTGTGTTGTTGCAGATTGTGTCTTTCTATGCTATTTATATATATAGAAAGTATCTTTTTTTAAATATTCTTTGCAGTACAGTCGTCGATATTAGAATGATGAACAGCATGATTTTATACCAGCATGATAGTATTACGTTCTTTGAGCTTGCTTTCAGTAACGATTTTATACCAGCATGGTAGTATTACGTTCTTTGATACGAAATCGTTTATTATTGTTATAATTGTACTCGTGCTTTTGTTTTTTATTATACCGATATTATAGAGTTAAGTGCTTTCCTTTACTGATTTTTACTGTACATGTGAATAAGAGAAGAATTTAGATAAACGTCAGTAGGACAGCATCATGAACGTGAAAGTAACCAAATACATTGATTGGTAATAAATGATCAGCAGGCATGCAGTCTTTAACAAAAGACAGGTGACTTTGCAAAATGTCTAGCTCTAAATTGTCCTGGATCGGAATAAAGTAAATAATCAATTTAACATTTAACAAAGAAGTGTCATCAACACAAAATTCTCCAAGAATCTTCTTTAATGTACCTTCGTTATTCTGCTGATCGACATTATAAGGAGAAGGTATCAGTTCTTTATGTTCATGGTGTTTTCCCAACATAAGGATTAGTTGGCGAATTTGGTATTCATGGGAGATTGTTGATTGCATATTCTCTTAACCGCATAATATAAACTAAGTTTTACATTTTTAGTTTTCAAACTTCTGGTTCAAGAGCAAGCGATGAAAAAAAAAGTATAACAAAAATACTGAACTCCAAGGCAAATTCATAAAGGGGAAGTTCATAAAATCTGATAAAATCAAACGATATCAATCAACGGAACAAGTGAAAAAAAACTGCCATATTCCTGATTTGGTACAGGTATTTCCTGAAGAAAATGGTGGGTTAAACCTGGTTTTATAGCTAAATTTCCCACTTGTATGACAGTTGTTTATAGTTCCGTTATATTGACAAAATTGGGTAAGCAACCAACACAGACAGATAGGCTGTAGTACCACGCGCG